GGTAGTTCCTGGTGTCAATGGGCAAACCATACATCATTGCCTCGGTAGCTCTAGTGGATGGCAAGTGATTCCCATCGCCCTGCACACTACTCGAATGGTCTACAAAAGGCTCTCTGTGGTTTCGCTCATAGCCGTTGACGATGCAAGGATTCTCATCAGGGTCCTTGTCGAGTATCCCCACTTCAGTTGGTAGGCGTGTGAGGGGTACGTTGCATTCCTCAATGTGATTACGTGCCTCATCGTCGGTGGGAAACACCGCAACAGCATCTACAACGGGTGGTAGCAGCACGTTCGGTGTGAACGCTTCGGCTGGTGGACAATTAATTAATTGTCGTTGCCGTCTGCGTACACGTAAAGCACGGTGTCGGTATACACATACGAGAAGCACTGCAAGTGCAAATAGCAACAAGAAAAATGACCACAGTACGGCATTAACAATAATGCCTATACTAGGCATGGTTTCCTAGGTCACGCTAAGTATGTGTTAGGGAAGAAGAAAGTGGGATAGGAAAAATAGGGTAGGGATAAGATGCGGGTTTCGGCCCAGCAGAGAGAGAGAGAGGGAGAGAGGGGCATTTCAATATTGCAGTGAGAAGAGTAGCATCGACAAGGGAAACGATTCACCCACAGAACAAAAGCAACAAAACCAACATACATGCACAAAAAGTGAAAATATAGCTATTTCACTACATCAGAGCATCGGTAGTGTTTGTGTGTGTGTGGAACGCTTTTCCACCCCATTCACTACAGCCACCACTGCTGTATAAAGAGATAGAAGCCAGCGTGGTTGTGGCCATGTCGTTGATTGTGGCAGTTATAGAGTTGTTGGGTGTACAGATGGGAGAACGGAAATCAAGTCTGATGGCTCGCAGCATTTCGCATAGGTGAGACTCCTTCACCCACAGCTCTGCGTCGGAACTGTATGAACGAAAGATAGCATTCCAAAATGCATAGTTTCCGCTATTTTATACACTTTGCACTGTTATCCAGGGCCGCTGTACTGGCATTGGCACTACTACTACTGTTCCCATTTCGAGGAATGTACTCCGCCTGCCCGTAAACAAATACGGAATCATCCCTTGGACTGTATTGCGATGTTGAATTCTCCGGTGGTCCTATGGCTCCTGTGTTTGTTGTTACTTCTGCTGCCTGCCGGTGCTGTTCCAATGGTAAACCAATTGTGACGGGTGCTGGAGGTATACCTACTCCCGGTGCGGTGGTATAGTTATAAAAAGGGGATAGCATAGGTGGGCCATTGAATGGGGTATTCATCGGTTGTACGTTTGGCATCGGCCCACTGTAATATTGTTGTTGTTGTTGTTGTTGTTGTTGTAGTCCTTGTATGTGTGTATTCTGTTGATTCTGCACTTGCTGTATACGTAGTTGACGACGTCGGAGATAGGAACAGGTGAGGCAGCATAGCAATACGGAGATAACAATGAACATAAAGAAGAGGATATCGGGCAACATGTACTCTTATAAGGGATACAGAGAGAAAAAAAAATATTTTATATAAAAAAAATACTCCTACCTTGCTGGGAAAGTTAATAAAAAGGAAACTGTTTTAAACAAATTTACATCAAGTGGAGAAAAGTAAATAAATAGATACAACACATATACAGAGATAATCGAACAAAATAGAAAGTAGAAGTGGAAATTCAATACCGTACATGCGGTAATGTTAAAGCTACAAGCACTGTCATACAATGAGAGGAATAATCAGTGGTATAATGATTTCATCACTGAAGTATTCGTTTTTATTTCTCTATAAATTTTTTTTAACCTGTATGTTTCACAGGACTGCTATGAACATTTCATGAACAGGACCATAAACATATCCTAATGTTTCTTAATTCATTCTCATAGAGCTCTTTATTTGGTGTCTCACTCCTTTGCTGTTGTGACCAGGATTCTACAAGATCACCGTAAAAAGAGTTCATATGATATAATACACTATATACTAACACATGTAAAAAAAAAATTCTTGATTTGAAAAGAAAAAAAAACAGAAAAACAACTACCCTCCAAAAACATGCATAGAGAAAAACAAAAAAGACCTTCTGAAAAATAAAGTAGATTAAGGGAAACAAATCAATTCCCACATGAGCAAATCTAGCTGCTTACCCCATCAACATAGTACCGCTTTTACACTTTTTTTTTTTTTGTAAAGCATGCACTCGTATTTCACTCTATTATGGCCTATTCATTCCTTTTTTATTACTTCTGGATCAATTGGTTTTGCTTTCAATATCCCCAACGTCATCATCCATCTCATCATTCTCAGAGCGGATGTCAGCAGATGGGCGTCCAGTAACCAAATTTAGAACCACCTTGATTATTAGATAAAACCAATATACATGTAGACCTTGAAGTATCACATGTAATAGAATAACCAAAAACCAGTAAAGCAGTGTAAAGGTACGGATCTTGACTGCAAGGACGACACTTGCCAATGCCAGAAATGGTAAACATACAAGTCGGAAGAACACAAAGAGAGCGATAAAAGCAGCAAAGGTAACGATAACCGAGTTCTCACTGAAAACAATTTTGTAGAGAAAAGATCGTGGGGGTTCTGTAATAATAATGCCGTTTGGTTTAAGGGTTGCTGCCTTCTGTTGCCGTAATATGGCTGCGTTTACAACATAGTTGAGAGACTTACTTAGGGCAAGCATAATATCACTGGCATCGTGGATGAAAAGCACATAGGCACCAAAGCGATGTTCATAACTGCAGTGTGAAATCACTATCAAGGCGATGGTTACGATATGATGAAGCAAATATTCAAAGAAGTCTGAACGTTTCATATCATGCTCCATAAGCAGCGAGACAATCTCTGAGAGGTAAAATCCAAGGCCATAGCAATAGTAATGTAATAACTCAGGCTCCGGGTTGTACGGATGTGGGGTAAGAAGACTGATACGATTTGCCTCATTAACAGGGAAGCCAAACCAGGGTTTGTCCCATTGCACATAATAGCCAAAAATAGTAGAGATGGTATAGACTACAAAAAGCCACGTCTGGGTTTGGAACTTCTTTAGTTTGATGCGCTGACCCTTATTTAGATATGTTTCTGAGATGCCATCGCTTAATTTCCTATAATGGCGTTTTGGCACCACCACCTGTAAGTATAGGCCAATCCCAGAAAGTTGTTCTTGACAGAAGATGCGTAGAAAGATAAAGGCAACAGCCCACAGTAGACACGGAAGCAATTGTGGAAGTATAGTAACGTCCCATCCAAGCCCTCCCCAGCCGTTCAGGTGTTTTTGCAGCGAAAAGGGGTTTGTCAAGAGCCACCAGAATTCTTCCCTTGTGAAGGTGAGATTGTTGGAAAGCAGGTCCCTTGCGTGGTCTCCAGTGTGGTTGTAGTATGAGACGAATCCATACTCCTTTGCTCGCTCAAACGACATCGCATAGATGTCTGGCCTTAATGCTGTTCTACTGATGACACTCGAATTCATCATTTTTGTCGAAGTATCAGAGAAGAAAGTTTTCTTAGCCCTTACTAAACAGCCACAGATAAGAAGGACGAAAAAACAATTATTTATAGAGATAGAGAGTGATAGAGGATTAGAAAGTGTACATACAGTGTGAGGTGAAATTTAACCACAGAAGCAAAAGGTTCCATCTATTCTTAGGCGAAGGACCACACCCCATAATAATACTAACATTAACAAGAGGTTGGATCCATTGTACGTAAAGTAAGCAACAGTAATAGAGAAAGAAAGAAAAAAAAAAACATTTCAAAAGTTATTATGAACGTAAACTTCCACTCCACCAATACCAAGCAGCATAATACTTTCACTTTTACTAGTAATGAATCTTTTCACAGCGATTACAAGTGATATACAGGCTTGATAAAGGAGAATCAAGAACCAATAAACAAATTCACACAGTAAAAAGAAGATGGGTCTAATACCCATTATATCATAAAGGAAAAAAAAAAGTTCAACAAGAAATTCTCTCGTTAAAATTCAAAAGCAATAGGAACGCACAAGAGAGCAATCTCCCAGCTGATAATTAACTGACATATTTACTCAGCAGGAAATCCTAACGTATCCACGACCGCGCAGCACCTTTACCTTTGGAAGGTAAGTGTTGTTAACACTGAACTGCTTCATCAACTTAATATAGTCAGCCTCCGGCAACTTATGAATAACAACAGAACTCGACGTGACCGCAGAAACACCTTCTTTATTGTAAAAATTATGAAAACGGCATGGTGATTCTGCAAAAAAATCACATTTTCGTCCATTCAACTCAAGGTATAGAATATGACCTACAAATACATCTTCACGATGCATACTAAATGAGAAAAACTCGGGTTCCCGCTCATTACTATACGGTAGGTTCACTAACCGCTGTATGGGGTTGTAAGAAACAAACTGCTGTGCCACATCCTTTGAGAGGGTATAGCACATTCCACCCGCAAAACGAAATCCAACATTCTTGCTTCCCTTCCGCGCTTTCCAACCTATCGGAACTCCCCAATACACTCTGCGCCTGGGTAGTGTACGCAGATCAGCGAGGAACTGTGGTACTCGCAGGAACATGTCATCGTCTCCCTTCGAAATGTAGTTCACATTCGGGAATACTCGCAGTGCCAACTCAAACCAAAAGTACACCTTACGACTCATACCAATCTCAGCTTCGGTACCCCAATAACCCACCCCAGTAACGGTCTTCTCTGTCGTAGATCGTCCTTCATTTTTATGAAACGTAATCACATCATGCCACTCATCAGCCTCCTCCAGTAGTACAGCGGAAAAGTTATAGCCATGTGATGGGTGCCGTGCAAGTACATACAACACCAACATGGCCCCAGTGAAGTTATTCGCCCTCCGTGCAACACCGGGGAACTGCCAGCACGTAGTCCGCTGCAGATAACGGTGTCTCCGCCTCGCCTCAATGTCAATAGACAGGATCCCAAACACAATGAGGTAGTCACGCTCCCTCCATGTCTGTATGGTGCTGTGTGGGATGTAGCGCAGAGACTCATTGTCAGCTGTGTCATCTGGACTATGCGGCTTTACGGCGGCAGTGACGTTCAACGATGTATCAGAGGGATACCCATTGGACTCGAATGCTGTAAAAGCATCATTATAGAGGAATGCAATGAATGCCTGTAATGAGAGAAGGAGGAAAAATAGAGTTATGACGATGACTGCCTTTCGTGGACCACGGTTTGCCATTATAGCTCTATCTGTGTGTCTACAGCTGAATGCAGAGAAAAAGAATGAGGAGGAGGAGTGTTATCCACCGAGCCCAGCAGTCCATCGGACGGCAAAGCCATTGCTGTGGTGTACGCAGTGTATGTGTGCTGAGGGGGAATGAGAGTGAAATACACACACACAGAGAAATACCTCTCACGCAAAGGACAGACAGACGAGCAAAGGGAACACAGAAAAAAAAGTCACCAGCCTATTCCATCATCCTCAGCATATAAATTCCAAGTGCCATGATCGATGAACAGGGGTTTTCGGGGTGATGCTTCGCTGATATCCAGAAAAATTCATCAACCTATCGTAATCTTCCTCTGTAATATGATGCACCATAACAGAATTCTTAGTTACCCGCCATTTATGGCGGCCACTACGAAAATCGTGAAAACGACACCGCTTTTCTCTAACAAATGTAATGTTATGGTGTAGTACCTTTCTCAGCACAAACCCCACCATCATGTCTTCGTTTTGCATAAAAAGAGAAAAAAACAGAGTCTCCTTCCCTTTAGTGTACGGCGTGTACACCAAGCGCTGCAGAGGTTTGTACGACACGAAGTGCTCAACAATATCCCTTGACAGCGTTGCACAGAATCCGACAACGAAAAAAAAACGCACTGGGTTATCGTGGGTTCCCAGCCTTCCCCAGTAGATCCCACGGCGTGGTACTGTACGCAGATCAGCGAGGAACTGTGGTACTCGCAGGAACATGTCATCGTCTCCCTTCGCAATGTAGTTCACATTCGGGAATACTCGCAGTGCCAACTCAAACCAAAAGTACACTTTACGACTCATACTTATCCCAGCCTCGGTACCCCAATGACCTTCAAAACCAATTACCTTGTTCGTTGTTGGTAAAGAATCGCTAGTTCTCAGTGTAACCACATCATGATACTCATCAGCCTCCTTCAGTAGTGCAGCAGAATAGTTGTAGCCATGTGATGGGTGCCGTGCAAGTACATACAACACCAACATGGCACCATTGAAGTTATTCGCCCTCCGTGCAACACCGGGGAACTGCCAGCACGTGGTCCGCTGCAGATCACGGCGTCTCCGCCTCGCCTCAATGTCAATAGACAGGATGCCAAACACGATGAGGTAGTCCCTCTCCTTCCATGTCTGTATGGTGCTGTGTGGGATGTAGCGCAGAGACTCATTGTCAGCTGTGTCATCTGGACTATGCGGCTTTACGGCGGCAGTGACGTTCAACGATGTATCAGAGGGATAGTCACCCCTTGGGAACACTGCATCGACATCGAAGTGGCTGTGCCAGACGAATGAGTACAGTGTGATAACCAGGACAAACAGACAGACAGAAATATTTCTTTGCTGAGTGTGGTGTGTCATTATAGCTCTATCTGTGTGTCTACAGCAGAATACAGAAAAGAAAATGAGGAAAGGAGCGTATTCTGCAGTATGCAGTGTGGGGGGTCATTGGCGTTTGTGGTTTGCCTTGTGGCTTCCCAATACTCACCGGTGGCTGGACCATCAGCCTCCATCGCAGGTCAGCATTATTACAGTAACTGAAGATATAACAATATAATTTATTCTTGATATTTGTTACGTTATTGGTTTCCCATTGGTTTGTGTTTCATGTTTCCAGTTCCATTTTGTTATATATTGGTTCCTCCATATACGTGTCTGCAATAGACAGGTCGGGTCTCATGACCACCAATTTAAGAAGGAAACTCACAAACCAATACCATGACGTAATCAATCATTATAGTGACATTTCGAACTACAGAGGTAAAGTAAAGTAATAAAACAAAAATAAAAACAAACCACTATCGTGACGTATGTAGTCATTATAGTGAGAGTTAGGAGTAGAGGGTGAGGAAGAGGTAATAGAATAAAGAAAGTAAGATTAGAGTCCGGACATTGTTGTCCGAAGTAAATCTAAAGAGTAACAGTTTGGGGTTTCAATATAGTTACTGTTTATATTTGTATTTGTATTTTTACATGCTTCG